ACTATACAAATAAACTTAAATAAGACATAAATAGACTCACAGACATAGAAAAAACTGGCTACCAAAGGGGAAAGTGGACAGAGGTGATAAATTAGGAGTTAGGGATTAAAATATACACACTACTATATATAAAATACATAACCACCGGTGATTTATTCATATAGCACAGTGAACTCTATTCAATATCTAATAAAAACCTATAATGCAAGAGAATGTAAAAAATTAATATATATATATGTGAGATATATATATGTACGAGAATATATATGTGTGTGTGTGTGTGTGTGTCTGTGTGTGTGTGTGAATCACTTTGCTGTATACCTAAAACTAACACAACATTGTAAGTTAACTATATTTCAATTTCCAATAATAAATTAAAAAGAAAGGCCATTTTAACATGAACAGTAAGCAGAAAATCCATCTTCAAATAAAGAGTAGTTCATTTAACACATTTAACTCTAGAAAAAAACATATTTATGTTTCCTTATTTTTTCATTTTACCATAAATGTCCATTCGTGAGCCAGTATGTAGGCAACACTTGTGTAGAGCATTCTCTGATATTAAACAAAGTGGGTCAGGATGCCTCGTCCTCTTCCAGTTTGTCAGGAAAATGACAAGTCCTAGCATGATGGCTATTAATACTTCAGCTACTATCAAATCAACAAAATTAGAAATGAAATTGAAGAAACCACAACAGACAACACAGAAATGCAAAGGATCATAAGAGACTACTATCAGCAACTATATGCAAATAAAATGGACAACTTGGAAGAAATGGACAAATTCTTAGAAAAGTATAACTTTTCAAAACTGAACCAGGAAGAAATAGAAGATCTTAACAGACCCATCACAAGCAAGGAAATCAAAACTGTAATCAGAAATCTTCCAGCAAACAAAAGCCCAGGACCAGATGGCTTCACAGCTGAATTCTACCAAAAATTTAGAGAAGAGCTAACACCTATCCCAGTCAAACTCTTCCAGAAAACTGCAGAGGAAGGTAAACTTCCAAACTCATTCTATGAGGCCACCATCACCCTAATACCAAAGCCAGACAAATATGCCACAAAAAAGGAAAACTACAGGCCAATATCACTGATGAACATAGACGCAAAAATCCTTAACAAAATTCTAGCAAACAGAATCCAACAACATATTAAAAACAGCATACATCATGACCAAGTGGGCTTTACCCCAGGGACACAAGGATTAGTCAATATTTGCATATCAATCAATGTGATATATCACATTAACAAACTGAAAGATAAAAACCACACGATTATCTCAATAGATGCAGAGAAAGCCTTTGACAAAATTCAACATTCATTTGTAATAAAAACCCTCCAGAAATCAGACATAGAAGGAACATACCTCAACATAATAAAAACCATATATGATAAACCCACAGCAAACATCATCCTCAGTGGTGAAAAACTGAAAGCATTTCCCCTAAAGTCAGGAACAAGACAAGCGTGCCCACTCTCACCACTACTATTCAACATAGTTTTGGAAGTTTTAGCCACAGCAATCACAGAAGAAAAAGAAAGAAAAGGAATCCAGACTAGAAAAGAAGAAATAAAGCTCCCATTGTTTGCAGACGACATTATCCTCTACATAGAAAACCCTATAAGACTCCACCAGAAAATTATTAGAGCTAATCAATGAATATAGTAAAGTTGCAGGATATAAAATTAACACAAAGAAATCCCTTGCATTCCTATACACTAACAATGAGAAAACAGAAAGAGAAATTAAGGAAACAATTCCATTCACAGTTGCAACAAAAATAATAAAATACTTAGGAATAAATCTACCAAAAGAAACAAAAGACCTATATATAGGAAACTATAAAAGACTGATGAAAGAAATCAAAGATGACACAAATAGATGGAGAAATATACCATGTTCATGGATCAGAAGAATCAATATAGTGAAAATGAGTATACTACCCAAAGCAATCTATCAGTTCAGTTCAGTTCCGTGTGGGACTCTTTGCGACCCCATGAATCACAGTACACCAGGCCTCCCTGTCCATCACCAACTCCTGGAGTTTACTAAAACTCATGCCCATTGAGTTGGTGACACCATCCAGCCATCTCATCCTCTGTCATCCCCTTCTCCTCCTGCCCCCAATTCCTCCCAGCAAGTCAATGCAATCCCTATCAAGCTACCAATGGTATTTTTCAGAGAACTAGAAAAAATAATTTCACAATTTGTATGGAAGTGCAAAGAACCTCGAATAGCTAAAGCAGTCTTGAGAAAGAAGAATGGAAATGGATGAATCAACTTGCCTGACTTCAGGCAATATTACAAAGCAACAGTCATCAAGACAGTATGGTACTGGCACAAAGACAGAAACATATATCAATGGAACAAAATAGAAAGCCCAGAGATAAATCCACGTACCTACAGACACATTATCATTGACAAAGGATGCAAGAATATACAATGGAGAAACGACCATATCTTTAACAAGTGGTGCTGGGAAAACTGGTCAACCACTTGTAAAAGAATGAATCTAGAACACTTTCTAACACCATACACAAAAATAAACTCAAAATGGATTAAAGATCTAAATTTAAATCCAGAAACTATAAAACTCCTAGAGGAAAACATAGGCAAAGCACTCTCTGACATAAATCACAGAAGGATCCTCTATGACCCACCTCCCAGAGTAATGGAAATAAAAGCAAAAATAAACAAATGGGACCTAATTAAACTTACAAGCTTTTGCACAACGAAGGAAACTATAAGCAAGGTGAAAAGACAGCCTTCAGAATGGGAGAAAATAATAGCAAATGAAGCAACAGACAAAGGACTAATTTCAAAAATATACAAGCAACTTCTAGAGCTCAATTCCAGAAAAATAAGTAACCCAGTCAAAAAATGGGCCAAAGAACTAAACAGACATTTCTCCAAAGAAGACCTACAGATGGCTAACAAACACATGAAAAGATGCTCAACATCACTCATTATCAGAGAAATGCAAATCAAAACCACAATGAGGTACCATCTCACACCAGTTAGAATGGCTGCTATCAAAAAGGCTACAAGCAAGCCTGGAGAGGGTGTGGAGAAAAGGGAACCCTCTTACACTTGGTGTAAATGCAAGTGAATGTTGGCGGGAATGCAAACTGGTATAGACACTATGGAGAACAGTGTGGAGATTCCTTAAAAAAACTGGAAATAGAACTGCCATACAACCCAGCAATCCCACTGCTGGGCATACACACTGAAAAAACCAGAAGTTAAAGAGACACATGTACCCCAGTGTTCATTACAGCACTGTTTATAATAGCCAGGACATGGAAGCAACCTAGATGCCCATCAGCAGACAAATGGATAAGAAAGTTGTGGTACATATACACAATGAAATATTACTCAGGCATTAAAAAGAATGCATTTGAATCAGTTCTAATGAGGTGGATGAAACTGGATCCTATTATACAGAGCAAAGTAAGTCAGAAAGGAAAACACCAATACAGTATATTAATGCATATATATGGAATTTAGAAAGATGGTAATGGTGACCCTATATGCAAGGCAGCAAAAGAGACACAGATGTAAAGAACAGACTTCTGGACTCTGTGCGAGAAGGTGAGGGTGGGATGATTTGAGAGAATATCATTAAAACATGTATCTTATCATTTGTGAAATAGATCACCAGTCCAGGTTGGATGCCTGAGACAAGTGCTCAGGACTGGTGCACTGGGATGACCCTGAGGGATGGGATGGGGAGGGAGGTGGGAGGGAGGGTCAGGATGGGGAACACATGTACACCCATGGCTGATTCAAGTGAATGTATGGCAAAACCACCACAATATTGTAAAGTAATTAGCCTTCAATTAAAATAAATTTAAAAAAATTGAGTAAAGAATTGGGAGGACAACATTACAAAATATGATAAAACTTTAAAAATAATTCCATTCCTAGACATTTTTCTTAATCCATAATTCAAAGGAAATATACACTGTTCATTAAGATAAGTGCATCCCCATGATTTGTAATAAAAATATTAAACCAAAAAAAAAAATACTTCAGTTACTGAAGTACCTTTTAATCATATCACTTAATTTAATCCTCACAGCCATTCTATTAATATTCCCATTCTATAGATAAAGAAAGGAAGTCTTAAAGAATGTATTACTTTCTCAAAGTGGCAAAACTAGCAAGTGGTAAAGTTACTATTCAAATTCATGTCTATATAGTTCCATAGTTCATGTTCTAAAACTTTATGCAATGCTATCTCTCAGAAGTATAAAATATGAAAAGTCTAATTCACTGTAGATTTCTTCTCAAGCCACACCTACAAACTTCTAAAGTTGACTGATTACTTTGAGTTGACTTCAGGTTTATTAAGAGATTCTTAGCCTTGGCACGGATAATTTACGCCAGATGATCATTGGTCGTGGAGGCCCTTCTGGACATTGTAGACCATTTCACAGCGTCCCTGGCTTCTACCCAGTAGATGCTGGTAGTACGCTCTTTGAGTGCTGCATGTTCACTCAGTTGTATCAGACTCTCTGCAGCCCCATGGACTGCAGCACGCCAGGCTCCTCTGCTAGTGGAATTCTCAAGGCAAGGAATACTGGAGTGGGTCGCCGTTTCCTTTTCCAGGGGACCTTCCTGACTCAGGGATATAACTAGTGTTTCCTGTGTCTCCTGCACTGGCAGATGGATTCTTTAACACTGAGCCACTTGGGAAGCCCACTCTCTTTGGAGTTACAGTAATAATAATAACAAAATACCTTTGGACACTGCCAAATGCTACCTGAGAGCCAAAACTGCCCCTGGTCAAGAACCACTGGCTTAATTTCAGTCTTGCTGTATGGGTGCATCCAAAGACGACCTTAACATTATACAAAAGTGGGAATAGCTGCACTGTGAACAAACATATTTTCCATGACTGGCTCTGTAAGACAGTTTTTAATAAGCAACAGCTTGGTATTTTAATTCAAATATCATTGAAAACACTACTCATAACTATGATTTTTAGATAAATTTAGCTTGTGTAAAAAAGCAATTTTATTTTGCTTAGTATAAGAGGATAGCTCTGAAAGTTTATTACAAACCAAGTAAAGCAATAACAATCCCTTTATAAGGCTAACGTACAAAGGATGTTCAGGGAATAATTGACACCATCCAGTTGAAAAGGCTTCCTCCCGATATGATACAGCCACTAGCAAGATCAAAAAGTCTCTCCAGACTGAATATAGATGGTAGCGAGACATCAAATGGGACCTGAGAAAAAGCATAAAAGCATTCATGAAATGCGTTGTTTCAAACTATTGACTGAAATAACATTCTCAAAACACACAAATACCAATTCTAGGTAATGATCTTATGTGAAATATTCTTAACTCTTGCCTTAGATAAGACACAAAATTTCACATCTCTACCTTGCTGAAATGTCCCATATATCATTTTCTATCCTAATAAGACTCATATCTATGAATATATAAAAGTGGAACACAGATTCATGTCTGTAAATCTACAAAAGTAGACATTTCTAGAAATATGCATCATTTGATTTTATATAATCATTGCATATTAAGATCAGGAATTTTAGTCCAGTTCCTAATGAACCTCTTCCCCTCAGAACACATTGCAGAGTGGACAAATCTCTCCCCCTCATGTGAATTTAAATTCTGATATGGTGAAGTGAATTATGTTTGGGGTTCCTTCTTTCTGAAAGAAACACATGGTTACCACGTTGAGGACTAGTGCAGCCAAAGTCATCTGAAAAATGGAAAATAAAGATTGTTTCTGGGGTCATGGCACACTGGTAATTTAAGTGGGAAGAAGGGCAAGAAGGAGAGATCAAAAATGAAGGAAAGGAAACAAGTGTTTACTTGTTTCTGGGGAAGCACTTCATGCAGACTTAGATACTTGTGAAGATATATGAGCAAATAGCATGTAGAATGGTCACCATGAATTTAAGCCTTGGGGCCCTGAATCTTTGTAAGAAACTAGAGGACAAGTTTTATTAGTGTCTTGTCTTCTTGTTAACTTAAACTTTTATTCTGAAAAAAATACAATGAACTTAAAAATAGAGGCTGGTTTTCATTTCTTTTTCTTCACTTGATTGGATAAAAAAATGATAAAAGCATTCCAATACTTTCTATAACTTCAGATAATAAAGATTTGGAAAATTAATAATATCATGATTTCTTAATTCTGAAGTAATCAGTGTTAGCAGTTTAAAGAATATCTTTCCAAAATAACAGAGAATGAGATGGTTGGATGACATCACCAACTCAATGGACATGAGTTGAGTAAACTCCGGGAGTTGGTGATGGACAGGGAGGCCTGGCATGCTGCAGTCCATGGGGTTGCAAAGAGTTGGACATGACTGAGTGACTGATCTGAACTGAACTGTTTTTTTTTTTATATTGAGCTGTGTAAGTTGTTCATATATTTTGAAAATTAATCCATTGTCAGTCTCATCACTTGCAAATAATTTCTCCCATTCCATAGGTTGTCTTTTCACTTTGTTTATGGTTTCCTTTGCTGTGAAAAAGATTTTAAGTTTAATTAGGTCCCATTTGTTTATTTTTGTTTTTATTTTCATTACTCTAGGAAAAAGTGAAAGTGTTAAGTTGCTCAGTCGTATATGACTCTTTGCGGCCCCATGGACTGCAGTCTGTCAGGCTCCTCTGTCCATGGAATTCTCCAGGCAAGAATACTGGACTGGAGTGGGTACCCATTCCCTTCTCCAGGGAATCTTCCCAACCTAGGGATTGAGTCACAGTCTCCTACATTGCAGGCAGATTCTTCACTGTCTTGAGTAACAGATGGATTCAAATACAATCTTACTGTGATTTATGTCAGAGTGTTCCACCTGTATTCTCCTCTAAGAGGTTTATAGTGTCTGGTCCAGCATTTAGGCCTTTAGACCATTTTGAGTTTATCTTCATGTGTGATATTAGAGAATGTTCTAATTTCATTATTTTACATGTGCCTGTTTAGTTTTCCTAGCACCACTTATTGAAGAGACTGTTTTCTCATCATTGTACACTCTTGCCTCTCCATAAGTATGTGGGTTTACTTCTAGGCTTTCTATCTTTTTCCATTGATCCATGTGTCTATTTTTGAGCTAATACCATGCTGTTTTGATTACGATAGCTTTGTAGGATAGTTTGAAGTGAGGGAGCCTGATTCCTCCAGTTTCATTTTTCTTTCTCAGGATTGCTTTGGCTATTCAGGGTCTTTCGTGTTTTGATACAAATTTTAAAACTTTTTGTTCTATTTCTGTGAAATCTGCCATTGGAGTTTTGATAGGGATTGAATTAAATTTATGTATTGCTTTGAGTAATACTTCCCTGGTGGCTAGGACAATAAAGCATCTGCTTGCAATGCAGGAGATGGGGGTTTGATCCCTGGATCAGGAAGATTCCTTGGAAAAGGGAATGGCTATCCACTCCAGTATTTTTGCCTGGAGAATCCCATGAACAGAGGGGCCTGGCAGGCTACAGTCTATGGGGTCACACAAAGTCAGACACATCTGAGTGACTAACACTTTCATTTTCTTTGAGTAATATGGTTATTTTAACAATAATAATTTTTCCAATCCATGAACACATAATATCTTTCCATTTATTTGTGTCATTTTCAATTCTTTTATTAGTGCATAATACTTTACCATGAACAAAACTTTCATCTCCTTGATTAAAAATTTTCTCCATGGTCTCTGGGGCACTTTGGACACTTCTCCAGTATTGGCTTTCAGAAATTTTATGGACAGTTCTGGGTTTTCCCTAAGAATTTCTCAGGAAAAGTTAGGTTCCAAGTGAAATTATAGAATTTCTTTATTTGTCATTCATCAGAGATAATATTGGCAATCATATAATTATTGAGAAGTATTGTATATGTTTAGTAAATAGTCTTGAGCCCAAATTGATATGGATAAGATAACAGAGAATCTTGGTTTCTTTACCTGGATTAGGAAAGGTTTTATACAAATAAAGGAAAAAAATACCTTGATAGGTGGCAGACTGTAATTTAGTTCAAGTAGATTATGATTCAAGGAGCAATGTCAAAGACAGGATGGCGTTTTTGCCTGCCTAGAGAGGATGAAAGTATGAAACAGTACAAGGAAGGGAAGGGAAGTTCGTCAAGGTGGGGCACGCTGAAGGGTTTCATTAAAATCTGGCCTGGACTTGAACTTGCTCAGACGGGTTCTGAGAGCCACTGGAGAATTAAAGGTTACTTGCCAGTGCTGTATTTTATATGAGTTTCAGCATGAAAACTAGATCTTACCATAATGAAAGATTTATTACTTTTGTTCCTTTGCTCTTACTATTTTCCTTGATTGAAAGAAAAATTGTACTGTCTTCAAAGTATCTATGAGTTTTCTTGAGTCACTACGTTTTTTTACTGAGCACCTCCTTTGAGACATCTGCTTATTTCTCTCAACCCAATGTCAGTTGCCTTTTCATTGATTTTAAGTGTTAATAAGCTAAGAAAAAAGGGAGAAAGCCAAATAACCACTAAACAATTGGATTTACCTACTCTTATAATTGTTAAGTGGAGGAGGGCATGGCAATCCACTCCAGTATTCCTGCCTGGAGAATCCCATGGACAGAAGAGCCTGGCAGGCTACAGTCCATGAGGTCACAAAGAGTTGGACAGGACTGAGTGATTAAGCACAGCACAGCATAATTGGTAAGTGGGATATCAAAAAGTGCAAGCACTCTGATACAGATGGATTTAATTTTGTGTCCTTTCAAGAACCTTAAACACAGAGTCACAGACATAAAAAGAATAGCTTCAAGGTAGGAAAACAAATACTGTTTTTATACAGCATTCTCACCTGTCTTTTCCTACCATGTTTTCTATATCTTCTTTATATATCACCTGAATCTTTGAAGTTAGTGGTTTATTGGATTTTTTTTTTTTTTTGGATTGGGGAAAAATATGCATTTCACAGTAGAAAGGATAATGTGATACTAGCTTACTTAGGAGTTGATATCATGAATGACTAGTGACCCAACTAATAAAAGTTTCAGATGAGAGGAAACTATTAACAGATGTATTTGGTTTCTCTATACTTTATATGACCAAGCGGATCCCATTACCACCAATAATGTTATTCTCCCCAGTCTAACAGAAATAGCACCTAACTCTAAGGAAAATGAGGAAGGCTTATAAACAACTCTATCAGACATAGAAATTTCACACTTTTCTGGGAACAAAATTATCTTTTTCATCAACTGAATTTTTGTATTAATAAAATTTAAATATAACAGAAAAGTTTTTTAAAAAACATAATATCAGATCAAAGAGTCAGACTGGTAAGATAATAGAAATCTTTTAAATTAAAATTTAAAGAAATAACATAGTTAAAAAGACATTTTGCAGAGAAGAAGAAATTTAAAAATTGAAGACAAGATTATGGCAGAGAAAGCATATGTTCTGAAAACTGGTTCGATTGTAGTACTGCCTAAGAATAGGATCTATTCTTAAATCATCATGCCCATCACCATCACAGTTACTGACACTCTTCAACCACCGAACCCTGGCTATTTCCTTGAGCTCTTGAGTAGAGTTCACCTTTTAATAAAGGGCAATTCTTTCTCAGACATATTGCCCCTTATGACCAGGAAACCAAAGGTTTCAATCCAGCTGAAAATATTTCAGCAACATAAGGAGACCTGTCTCCATTTTCACATCTAAGTAGATGCCAGAATGTTTAGGACAATGGCTTCTTTATTGAAATACATGAAGAGCACCTCCATGAGAGGAGCTAATATTGAGGGAGACTACATTCACTGGGATATATGTTAAAAAATCAGTATTAGGTGATATTCATACTTTACAGTTATGGCACAATAATAAATAAATATTTGGTCTATGTCTCAGTTTTTGGTATAGAGCTCCTAAAACCTTGGAAATTTTCTTTCATATGCTTATAAGATGACTAAGGTGAGGAAAGATGCCTAGATAGCTTCAGGATGAGGTTGATCACCAGGAAACCCAACCATGTGATTAGAGGGGTAAACTTCCAGTCTAATAACTCAACCTTTGGGGAGGGAAGAGCAGCTGACGATAGAGTTCAATCACCAACGTCCAATGATTAAATCAACTGTGCCTACGTAATGAGACCTCAATAAAAACTCCATAATAAGGACTTCCCAGGAGGTCCAGTGGTTGAGACTCCATGCTTCCATTGCAGGGGGCATGGGTTTGATTCCTGGTCCAGGTGCTAAGGTCCTACATGACACACAGTAGGGCAAAACACA